CCTTACTTCTCCCCAAGAATAAAATATTAGAACACAGAATTAGCTTACATTTTTGTTCAAAATACTACAATGCTAATAATAAGTTTACTTCAATCTCATCTGACTATGAAATTACATTTAATAACTTTAAGCCTCATGGAACCTGGTATGGACTAGACCATTGAGGGCAAATCTATACCACGCATGCTGCAGCAGGCTGTTTATAGCACTGAAAGCTCTAAAAGGTCCACCATCACTGGACTAGATTGTTAATAAACACAAAATAATACACAGTGACTACAAATAACAATAACGTGATTAAATACAAAATGAGCACAAAATAGTTTGTTTCATCCCTTAAAGAGGCGCAATGGCTGGAGATTTCTATGTAAAATGCCTGACAGTAAAAGAATACCATTTGTATAATTACTGATATAGTTGAATATTCACAAAATGAAATCGTGTATGCTTAAATAAGAATTACATTTACACGACATTAAATTCTTTTGATAAAATGCTCACAAAAATTTGGGGGAGCCAGACGTGGTGCCACATGCTTATAAACCCAGCACTCGGGGAGGCTGGCAATTTGGTGAGTTGGTGACACCCAGTATCAAAATAAAAAATAACACAAGGCCTCCGGATGTAGCTCAGTATAAAGGCTCTGGGTTCAATCCCCATTACTTCAAATAAAAGAGGGGGAAGGCTTTTGTACTCATATACCTATATAGAGCGCTTACCTATTTATATGTAAAGAAACAGGATCTTAAGATAGATCTTCAAATATATGTTTCTGTTGTGAGAGTACTCAGAGATTACTAGAAGTTTTTTTAAAGAAAAAAAATTGTTTAACTATTTAAACCGCCAGATGTAATGGCGCACACCTGAAATCCCGGCACTCGGGATTCTGAGGCAGGAGGATATGTGAGTTCAAGACCAGCCTCAACTACATAGCAAGACCCTGTCTCAAAACAAAACAAAATATATATTTTTTCCATAATATATAATGTACATATATAGTATACATATATACATATATGGAAATATATATATGTATATTTTTTGAGACAGGGTCTTGCTATGTAGTTCCTCTGACTATATCTATATCTATATATATCTATCTATATATATATATATAGAGAGAGAGAGAGAGAGGCAGAGAGATATAGATATAAATATATAGATACAGATATAGATATATAGAGATATCTATATCTACAGGTATCTATATATATGGTATATTATATATCTCACTCTCCTCTATATATATTACTCTTTAATGTGAAACAAAAGTCCTGTTTAAGAACAGAGACTATACAAAGTGTAATATAGTTACTCTCTTTACAACTACAAAAACTATCTAATTATTACCAGTTATGCCAGAAGAGATTACTTACAGAAGACAAGGCTAAGTTAAAAATTAATACATACATAATGGCTACAACAAATTATACTGTACCTACTAAAAGTGAAAACCCCATAAGAAACAAGAAATGAAACATTCAGAGTTAGTCATTGGTTATAAGCTTAAAACCACTGTACAGTAAGATTTAAAAAGCAACACAAGACTGTAAAGCAACATATGTTTAAATATCAAATCAAAATGGTAACTTCAGCCATGCATAATGTCTCATACTGTAATCCCAGCAATGAGGAGACTAAAGCAGAACAATACAGGTGAAGGCCATCCTAGACGACATAGAGGGTTCAAGGGCACCCTGGACTACACAAGAAGACCTTGTCTTAAAAAAACAAAAAGCCAGGCCAGGGATATAGCTTAGTGGCACAGCACCTGCCTGGCAAGTGCAAGATATGAGTTCAATTCCTAGCACACACACACAAAAAAAGAAAAACCAAAAAGCCCGGTATGGTGCCACATACCTGTAATTCTAGCACTCAGGAGGCTGAGGAAAGAGGATCAGTGCAAGTTCAAGGCTAGCTTGTACTACACGAGTCCAAGGCCAGCCTCAACTACATAGTGAAACCCTGACTCAAGCGAGAGAGAAATTATATCCAAGTTTTCTTTTGTTTTCCATACCAGGGACTGAACCCAGGGCCCTCACGCTGAACTATATCTCCACTCTTTTTTTTATTTCAAGGTAGCGTCTTGCTAAGATGCTCCACTGCCCAGGAATTCAGTTAAGCCTGTGATCCTCCTGCCTCAGCCTTCCCAGAGTGCTAAGATGACAGGCATGTACCACCACACCCAGTTTACACCCCAGTTTTTGGAAGGCATTTCAACTCTGAAACTCCAAAATATGAAAAAAAGCGGAATACAATGTGAAAACAAAGTGAATTAATGTCTAAGAAAGATAAAGATTTTCCAACTCTGGTGAACATCTAAAGAACTTGTTGAACCATATAAACGTCTACCTACTATCTCAAATCTTTGGATTCAAAATCAATAAAGTTGTAGTCAGGCTATCCGTCGCTTGAGCTAGATGTTTCTGATGTACAGCCAAGTGTGACAATTAAGCGTCATATGATTAAGTACATGATCTTCAATAGCAAGAAAACCTGAGGTGGAGTGGCAATTTTAATATCTGGTAAACTGGGACCACAAACAACCTCTCTTATACCATTGATAATCTATAAAAAGGAGGGAAGACCATCCATCGGATGATTGTTGTGAGGATTAAAAATGGTGATGCAGGGCCAGGTATGGTGGCACACACCTGTAATCTCAGCACTCTAGAGGCTGAGGCAGGAGGATTGCCATGAGTTCCAGGCTAGCCTGTGCTACACAGTAAATTCAAGGCCAACCTGAACTACATAGTGAGATGCTATCTCTACATAAATAAATTAATTTTTTTAAATGCAGCTGTATGGGGACATAGTTCAGCAGCACAGTGTCTGTCTTGCAAGTACGAGGTCCTGAGTTTAATTCCTGGTAACAAAAACAAAAATATAAAATGCAGCTGAAAGATCACTATTAAAAAAAAGATGATGCACACAGAATGACTAGTGCAATTCCTGGTACATTTATTGTGTATAATTAATTCAAATAATTTAACATTTATGAAGCACTTATACAGTATCAGGAAATAAGGAACATCTCAATTTATTAAGTACTAATAAATATGGCAACTCTGCAATGGTGTCATGAGAACACACAAATAGAATCTATCCTAATCTCCAAAGTCTTCCCTGAAATGTGCTGCATGATAAACAGGCTCTAACTAGATAAAAAGAAAAGGAAGAAGTCAGATGTGGTGGTGCATCCCAGTCTGTGCTACAAAGCAAGATCCTGCTCAAAGCCAAAACTTAGGAAGAGCATTTCCAGGCTCTTGGAGATGCTTCCCCAAAGCATAACTAAAAGCTATGTATCTGAAGAACAGAAAGATGGGCAAGGTAACCAGAGGAGGAAAGGAATGCATGAAAGCAGGGTGGAGATGAGGCTGGGAAGACAGATGGTCAACAAGGCAGGACCTCAGAGGGCATGGTAAGAGTTCAGTTTATCCTACAACAATGAGAAGCCATGGAAGGATTTTAAACACGCAGACAATGTGATCAGATCTGCACTTTGAAGAAGCCGCTTGGTTTAGAAGGAAAGCAGAGGTAAGCTATAATCAAGAGGCAAAAAAGAACCTCCATGAGAGATGAGGGAGGCGAGAACTAGAAGACTAGGGTTGAAGATCACAGGACTCCGTGAGATACTGAGTACGAGGCACGAGAACTGTGAAAGTTCAACACCTACCAAAAGGAATGGAACAGGAAGAGGATGTAAGAGGACCTATTCTTCCTTGAGATCATGAACTTCAAATGTGTACGAGTTGCTACTCCCAACTACAAGTGTGGCTTGCACAGAAACACTCCATTATATGGAAGTACAATGTGTATTTATTTTACCGAGTGTTCACGCACCTCAAGACATAAAAGAACAGGTAGTTCTGCATATGTGTAAAGACTCCAGGAGAACGAAGGCCCTCATAGTCCATTAGCGTCCTTTTCTTTACATAATCTCCACTGCCGGCAAGCTTTATTTTAAGAAATAAAAAAGCTTGCAAGGTCCAGAGGGAATCTTCAACCACCCGATTTCCAAGCCATCACCAGGACCATAATGACAGGTTGGCCTGGGGAATTTCTGTTAAGCTATTAATTTTTAAGAACAGAGACATGCTACTTAAAAAACTTACATATAGAACATAATTGTTTAAGTGTCATCATACAAATTCTGAATGTGATGTACAAAAAAACTATTTAGAAACTTGTAAGTCACTACGCAAACAGCGTTTTTAAGTGAGTCGCTGGACTGCCTAGTCGATCCTGTCAGAGGGGCAGACTTGATAACACTTGTGTTCTGATCACAGGTACGTGTTCACCGCAAACCCAGGAAGTTTTCGTTAGCTTTACTGATTTAAATCTTCATGCTTTTTCTCTTGCTCAGAAAAACAAGAGTCCCGGAGCCACCGATGGGGACGTTAGCCTTAACAAAACACCTGCCCCACCCACCTGACACACAATAACCTTCCATTCCCCAACTACAGCTGCGGGCGGAGGAGCACGCCGGGAGCGGAGGGCCCTGGCTGGTGCCCCAGCTTCCCGGGGCCGGACCTCAGAACCGAGGGGAGCTGTCTTACCCAGTCCCGGAGCAGTGTCCAATTTCCCAAAGCGGTACCGAGATCTCTACCACCGAAACCCGAGCTCCCGCGCCGGCGACTCTCCCCGCGGCAGAAGGCCCCGATCTCGGGTCTCCGCCGTGCCCAGGCCGCTTCGCTTCGGGGTTCGGATCCGCTCCCCGTAGGCTGCAGCTGCCCCGCGGCCCCGGCGCTCGCCCGTACCCCTGCGCCCGGCCGGCCGTCACTAGGCAACCGTCGCCAGCCCGCGGCCCCGGG